CTGGGGGGGGGGTGGCGGGCCGTGCCCCTATTAAGTTATACCCTGGCATTCGCCTTACAACTGAGGAAAAGCACGGAAAACCTCAGTCAGGGTAGCACCATAAACCTTGCATCACAATGCTAATTTATATGGACAACCAGCAGTAGAAACCAACACTGCTGATACCAAAGCTAGCCACTCTGCATGATCCTGAGCTAATTACATTCACATCTCATATTTTCCTAAGAATCAGTCTTCTCATGGGCCATAACAATGCTGAGTTGATGGTTAGCACTTGCCTGATCTACAGTGTAATCAATTAGTAAACTAGTGAAACTAGCATCCATTCTAATAATGCTATGTTTCACATGCTCCGGCTGAAAGTTTAAGACATGTGGACTGATCCACAACAATAAAACTTTAGAACAGAATATGATGGCAAATTAATGTATTCCATGAACACAAAGTGACATTAGGATGAGTAATGATAAAACAAAAGACAGCATCATGACTTGTGATGCTAAAGAAGTACAGAAATACAGACACACAACAATAGTAAGCTAGGCAGATATACCCCAAAATGGCATTATATGTCTGTGAATACAGAAAGGAATCTAAAATTAAATAAAAGAGACTTCTGCCATGATATGTTTGCATTTATACTTAACGAGATATATAAAGTTGTGTTTCATGAAATGCAATCTTACAATGAATGGCTTCCCATGTGTTTATATAGGATGTGGATAAGAAATGAAAAATATGCTGAAAATGTGAAAACATTACTTTTTATGAGGAAAGAAGGGATTTGGAGAAGAAGATAAACAACTATGATCTGCTATTATTTAAAATGTTTCTCCTCACACAGCACAAAGAACTTACTCAAGTCATGTTATCTTAATCATCTGTCCACTGTCTCTACAATTCTCCAAATATGTTGAAATGTTCAAAACACATGCATGAATTGATAAAAACAAATACAAAGTACACCATGCAAAAGCAACTACATGGAACACAGTTATTAAGAAAAGATTACAGGCAGGATAAATCAGGAAATGCAAGACACAGAAATGAACACAGGAAAGCTGGATCCACTTCCTTTCAATAATACAATTTTTGCAGTCTGCTAAATTTGGATTTTAGTAGGTCCCAGAGATGCTTGGAAAATAATATGTATAATTTTGTTTCATGTTAAAATACAGCCACAGATTTTGTTCCAAAAACAAAGTTCAAAACTTCACATTCAAACACATTTTATTGAGTAGTACAACATTCAAAAATAAAATACAACATGGTTTCTTCAGCACTCAAAACTTAAGATCATATATTGATATTTTGTCTATGCTAAATATATAATGGGCAATCAACAGAGTTAAAACTAGAAGATTTCTGTCTTCTGGGTTGTTGCGCTGTGTAGTCTGGCCGATATTAACCAACATTTCTGAGGTCAT